AAACCACCCTGAGGGTGCTGTGGCTGCTCCACAGCGTTTGCTGTGGGTGCTGCGGCTCCATTTAGCCAAGATGGGAAGAAGAAATTCTGAGCAACAGAGCGGTTCTCAAAATTAAATCAAGACACCCTTAAATCAGGGCTTTACCAGATGTTCCCAGGCCAGGGGAGGTCCAGGGGATGGATCAAAATCTGTGAAGCCCCAGAGCAGCTCCCAGACACGGTCAAACCACAGAGGATGATGGATCACCCATCCCTAAATCTCCCACAGTATTTCCCTGCGCAGTTTTTCCAGGGGAAGCAGGAAATCAAGCATTCATCATTGCTAAAACCGTTTATTATAAATTCGAGTGTAAATTCCAAAACAGGTCAATTTTGTTTCTGAGATTTTTTTTTTTAATTTAAAAAAAACCCAAAGGTTTGGCATCGGGAAAAGCATTCTCAAGATTTCAAAGCAGCAGGTAACTCATCATTCTATAGAAAAAGAAGCACCAAAGTGCTTTCCTTACTAAGAAACCCTTAMAGTTCTTGCTCTTTGGCTCACTTTTGAGAGGTAACATTTCCAGTATCAGAAACACAAAAATATTCTGTGAAATCCCAATATGTGTGTATATAAATCATATTTTTATATAGACATCTGATATTTTTATGTGTTTTTATACCCCGTGGTTGCCCATGAGACCCTTCCCACTGTTCACTGATAAAAGGAGGAACCTTTCCTTTAAATTCCCTGAATTTTGGCTGAATTCCATGAGGCAGGATGYGGATAGTTACATTTTCTGACAGTTTCAGGAAATACTTTATGATACCCAATATTTCATAAATTCAAAGACTTGTAGATATAACACAGCCAGCTCAGGAATCCCTCTTTTTTTCTAACTCTGAAATGGTGAGATTTTCTTACCATCTGAAGCCCTTTGTGATGACCTYCCAGACCTGGCTGTCATTTGGGTCATTAATCTCGAATTAGGACTCCCTGAGGAAGGAATTTCCCTCCATCCCTGCAATCAGCCTCTCTGGCTGTAAATGGGATATAATTATTGCAATTATAAAATCACCATTATGAATTGAGTTCTGATAGAACATCCATGTAACTGTGTGAAACCACAGACCCCAAAACTCTTGTTCCTGCAGGAATTACRCTCTTTGAGTCATCATTTTTCCAAGACAGACCAGAACCTTATTTATTTTTTCCCAGTGTTTTAGTTTCTTTGGTTACCTGCAATTCCTCACCGCCTCTGCCCTTAACACTCCGYGTATTTTCCATTTTAGGCTCTTTCTTTCCTGCGATCAAGCCCCCGGACACACTTTTTAAAATAACATTTTGGCTGGGATATTTAAACAGCTGCATCAACCCCATCATCTATCCCTGCTCCAGTCAAGAGTTCAAGCGAGCGTTCCAGAACGTCCTGCGAGCTCAGTGCCTCCCGCGCAAGCAGCCGGCCAAGAAACAAACCCCGAGCTTCAACCTCAACCACCCGGCTGGGCAGGGCGTGGAGAGGGGCAGAGGGGTGGTCAGGATCCCCGTGGGKTCTGGAGAAACCTTCTACAGGATCTCCAGCTCGGACGGGGTCTGYGAGTGGAAGATCTTCTCGGCCGCGCCTGCCAAAGGCGCCGTGTCCAGGGATTGCACGGTGGCCAAAGCCAAGAGCAAAGGGTTCCTGCAGGAATGCTGCTGTGCGGGCAGCGCGGGGAGCCCGGCCCACGGCGACGGCGYGGGGACAACCATCAAAATCCACTCCATCTCGCTGAGCGACAGCGGGGAGGACGTGTGATGGGATGGGCAGCGCGTGGGGCTCGTGGGATGCGCTGTTTTCACGGGGATCTGGGAGGATCCGGGTGGGGAAAGGTGAAATGGGCCGGGTTTTTCCAGGAGGGATTTCTGAGAGTGGTGGGAGCAGGAATTGAGCCCTTTGAGGACAGCGCGTGGCTCCAGAGGATGCAATTCCAAGGGCTCGGCGTCTGCCAGGTGTTCTCTTGACATTTAAAGGTTTTATCCCGGTGTTCCCCTCTCTCCCAGCTCCCACTGCTCTGGTTTAGGGGCGTTTTAGGACAGAGACAAAACCCCAAACACCCCGTGCTGATTTCAGCACCGCCTGCAGAGCCATGTGGTGGTTCCTCCCCAAAAATCCAAACCTCAGCTGTGGGTTCGGAAACATGATCCCGGTGACTGCATTCCCCGAGCTCCACAGAGCAAGGAGAACTTTCCCTTTTTGTGCAGCCATCCTCCCCAACCCCACCCCAAACCCAACGAGACCCTGCACATGCCCTCGGTTTGTTCGGGCGGTCTCTGCACCTCTGCGGGTCTAACAAAACCCAAAACTGGGGAAATCCTTGTCCAACAAAGCTCTGAGAGCTCACTTGCACCCATCCTTTTGTTTTCCTTCCTCTGAGCCCAGCAGGAGCCTGCTGAAAAGCTCAGGAATTCCTTGCTCAGGTGCTCCATAGCCAGATCAGTGCCACAGCCACTGGAAAARCTGCAGATTTTTCCCCGTCTTCCCGCCCAGTATTTTTTGCTACATTCCTTCCTCCGGCTCCTTCAATCCCCGAGTGCTCCAAGATTTCTGTGAGATCCCGGGTACCCTGGAGCCAGGAACTTTCCCCTCGTTCCGAGCAGGGCGAGTTCAGCACGTTAAAAGGCTTAAGGACATCCATCCCCACGAGAAAGGGCCACCCCTTGGGAATTTGGGAGCCAGGCATTTGGAARGATGTTATATTTTAATACAGCTAATCCGAATAAATAAATAAATGAGATGGGCCAGCATCTGGAAGGAATAGTGGGAGGAATTCTCTGTACAATATTAGAAATGAGCAGCAGCTCTTGACATAACTCCTCCCGAGGCTGCCAAGTAAAAATTCGGCTCCTTGAAACAACACATGAGCCTCTGCTCTCATCTGTGTCAGCTGCTGAAAATCCTGCCTTGAAGAGGGAAAGGGCTTGAGATAAAAGTTCATTTTCACAGGAGAAGGGCTTTGAAACAGCACTTTGGAGGTGCTGATGGGAAATTGTGGTTTATTCATCTCTCACTCAGGGTTAAGCCCTCRGTGTCCAGAGGATTTTGGTTTCCTCTCTCTGTGATTTGTGCCCTCGCAGAACACAAATCCGCCGCACGATCCCATTTTTAGCCRAAGTCAGAAATCCGCCTCACCCTTCAGGTTGTTCAGGCCTAGAATTCGAAGCTGAAAGCGTGGAAACGCCACRTAGGAAAATGTTCTCATGGTGCTCCAAGCCAAGAGCAGAAGGAGAGAAGCTGGAAATCTCATAAGGAAATCCCTTGGGACTCGTGGCCAAGGTTTGCACTCCCGCGGGGTTCGGATCCGTGGGACGTTTGTTTGGATAAAACCCAAATTTTGAAACATTTTGAAAAAAACACCCCTTAAATTGAGACTGGCAGGGTTTAAAGCCTTCACTGCACAAACCTGTCTGATTCTAMAACCAATTCTTGATTTATAACCAATAAGGTCCTTCGTGCCACCTCTCCTTGGAGATGGGAGATTTACACAGAGCTGCCACAGGAATTTCGGATTTATTGAGGTTTTCACCGTGTCGGGCGAGAGGTTTTTGTGGAGGCTGCCACGACTGGATTGATTTAACTCCAGAGCAATCCTGATGCAGCAACAYGGCCTGACCCTGGAAAATGAAGATAAATAACTCACAGAATCACAGAATCACAGGATGAACGAGGYTGGAAGAGCCCTTCAAGATCATCAAATCCAACCCACMACCCAACACCTCCWCATCAACCAAACCACRTCCAAGRTCTGTTTTTAAACGTGGGGGTGGTGAMTCCAGCACCTCCCTGGGCAGAAAATTCCAGAGTGTGATCGCCCTTTCACTGAAGGATTTTTACAAGAATTTTTCTCATCTTGTTGCTGGCAGTGGYGGGATGGACACGGATGCAGCGCAGCCAGGCACAAACAGAGATCGGGATAAAAAAGCCATGCCCTCGTCTTCACCCTTTTTTCTGCAAAAAAAAACGGAAGCTGAAGGAGCATCCAGGGAGTCTGAAAATCTCCCAGCCCTGAGCATCAGCCYGGTCCCAGCCACACCTCAGCCGCCGCCGCCTTTGCCAGCACAAACAAACACAACATTTGTTTGGCTCCCGCCGAGAATTTCTGCCCCGTTCCCTTGCTGCAGGCAGGGTCATTGGCACTTGTCATCTCCGTGGATATTTGGACTGAAAAACTCTCAAAAAAAAAGAAAAAATGTAGAAGGAGCTCTGGGAAGCAGAATAAAAAACTGAGTGCAGATTTGAGCAGCCCATTTGTTTTCTGTTCTTTAAAGTGAACTTGGCGCTGATGGAAGAGCTGCAGCTGCAGAGGCTGAGCGTGTCTGTCTGTCTGTCTGTCTGTCTATCTGAGGGACAAACGGGACCAGAGGCTTTCCCAGGGGCTGGACATCACTTGTGGAACCTTCCCAGCACCAGGATGGGTGTGAGATCCTGCAGGGCACAGAGGGAAGTGAGGACAGGGGGGTGGCAGGAGGTGCCCTCAAAGCCACTGTGGTGACCCAGGCTGAGCTGGCAGAGGATGTGTCCGGTCTGAAAGTGCTGAGGGACGGCTCTGACATCCCACCCTGCCCTGGGGACAGCAACAGAGGTGGCTCTGACATCCCACTGATGCCTAAATCCGGCTCACTAAACCAGAGCCCAGACAAAATTCAGAGAAACTAAAGAAAATTTTGATTTATTTCAGGGCCTTGAGGGCCATTGAGGGCAGTCCCAGCCCAGCCAGGGGCTGCACCCACAATGGACCATGGCTCACAGGTTTTTCACACTTTTTCAATTTTCCCAAATTAGACCATGGGCCACAGGTTTTTCACACTTTTTATTTGAATTTTCCCACAATGGACCATGGCTCACGGGTTTTTCACCCTTTCTCACTTTTGTCCATTTGCACACGGGGCCTGAATCCTCCAATTGCAGCTGCAGCCAATGCAGTCAAAAACTCCAACTTGGCTCCCCCAATTCTCTGTTCTTTCCATCTCTTGGGGCCTGGCCCAGGGAGGTGTCCTTGAGTTTGGGGCTGCAGAGGAATTGTTTTGTGTMAAAATGGGAGAGCAGGAGCTGGGAACTGTCTGTGGAGTCTGCAGTTAAACACTGGAGAATTCCAGGATCACACAGAAATAGAGAAATTAAAATCCTAAGGCATCACCACCCTCCTCCAGGGCAGGTTCTGGGGCAGTCACAGCCAAAATCTCCACGTGGAGCAGAGCTCAGTCCCTGCTGGAAGGGATTGAGAGCTGCAGCATCCAAAAATCTCTGAATTTGCACAGCCCGAGGCAAAGCACCAGCCCCTCATCCTCCCAGGGCAGGGAGAGTTCAGTAGCCCAGATTCCCCCGGGTCAATTCAGATTTACTGCTTGATATTTTTGAGTCTTCTTGTACTCTGCAAAGATTACGCAAATCCCAAACACTTCAGTTCTGCTCGCCATCCAAATAAACGTCTGCTCATTTTTATATTCTTTATTTCACCCTGCCAGCTCCGAGGATGAATTGTGCATCGTGTAAATGAATTTTCTCCTTTGCCAGGCTTTAATGTCCTAAAAAACCACAGCGCTGAAAAGAAGAGAGATTAAGCCAGGAATATTTCTTGCTCTTCTCCTCRGAGTGAGCAAATGGATATCACAAAGCCTCTTTACAAAATTTGCCTGCCTGATTTTTTCAATTTTCTGAAAGGCAACGCTGGCAGGCTGCAGAGAGTTGAAGTGAATTTAAAAAGATCTCAGTGCTCTGCTGCAGTGGAAGGAAGTGCTCGGTTCTGGGTTTGCCTGCTGGTCCTGAGCTGCTGCTGCTGTGGGGTTTTATTTGGGATTTCTTTTGGGAATGAAGCACCCAGAGCACCTCGGTGAATCCACACCGTCCCTTTGCCAGGAGGAAAAAAAATCCTTCACCAGGAGTTAAAAATCCTTTGCCAGGAGGAAAAAATCCCTTTGCCAGGAGGAAAAACCTCTTTGCCACGAGGAAAAAATCCTTTTGCCACGAGGAAAAAATCCTTTTGCCAGGAGGAAAAAATTCCTTTACCAGGAAGAGAAAATGCCTTTATCAGGAGGAAAAAATCCCTTTACCAGGAGGAAAAAAATCCCTTTACCAGGAGGAAAAAAATCCCTTTACCAGGAGGAAAATATCCCTTTCGCCAGCAGGAAAAAATCCCCTTACCAGCAGGAAAAAATCTCTTTACCAGGAGGAAAAAGTCTCCAGCTGCTCTCACACACTCAGATATTTGGGAAGATATTTCGTGTATGGCGGTGTTAGGAAAAAAAAAGCACTTGTAAAAGTGGTTTGTAAGTGTTATTAAAAAAGGCGCTGCAAAGTGCTCGTGGCACATTAAAATACAGATTTTTTTTTTCCCCCCCAGCCTGATGGATGGGATTGAAATCCCTGATTTCCCAGAGATGGAGCACCCCTGCTCTGCAGAGTGTGAGTGTTCCTGGTGCTGACAGAGAGAGAGGAGCAAATGGGACCTGAGGGGAATGGAGGAGAGGAGGAGGAGGAGGAAAAGGAGAAGGAGGAGGGGATGGAATATCACCTGAGAAAACACCTCTGTCAGCCCCACAGCCAGCCCAAAAACTGCTCAGGGCTCATTTCTGACCCAGTGCAACCCCTGAGCTCAAACCAGGGCTGGGGACAGCCTCTCCTTCATCATCTTCATCATCTTCATCATCTTCATCATCATCTTCATCATCAGCTCCTTCATCATCTTCATCATCTTCATCATCTTCATCATCGTCTTCATCATCATCATTATCTTCATCATCTTCATCATTATCTTCATCATCTTCATCATCAGTTCCTTTACATCTTCATGATCTCCTTTATCTTCATCATCATCTTCATCATCTTCATCATCAGCTCCTTCATCATCTTCATCATCTTCATCATTATCTTCATCATCAGTTCCTTTATCATCTTCATGATCTCCTTTATCATCTTCATCATCTCCATCATCATCAGCTCCTTCTTCAGCTCCTTCTTCAGCTCCTTCATCGTCTTCATCATCATCTTCATCATCATCTTTGTCATCAGCTCCTTCATTAGCTCGTTCATCATCTTCATCATCTCCATCATCATCAACTCCTTCATCATCTCCTTCATCAATTCTTTCATCAGCCCCTTCATAAGCTCTTTCTTTATCTCCATCATCATCTTCATCACCATCTTCATCACCATCATTATCTCCATCATCATCATCTTCATCACATCACTGAGATCTCCGTCAGAGCCAAAATCCTCAGTGCCAGCAGCGAACACAAACATCATCATCATCATCCTCCAGCGCTCCGCGTCTCGCCAAAAAATCAAAACTTTCTCTCCCCAATCCCAATTTCTTTCATCGGCTGAGAGAACTCGGCCATTGCAAAGCATTTCCTGGAGCAGGAAAACACCAACATTTCAGCAATTTCCACTCCCAAAGCGATTCCACACAAAAAAATCTCCCCGAACATCTCTGAATCCTCAGTTCCTCCTGACGTTGCCACTGTGGGAATTTTACACAACATGGTCTGGATTTTTTTGGTTTTTGTTTTGGTTGTTTTTGCTTTGCCAGTCTTTGGCTGCAAAAAAAAAGTTGTTTTTTTTTTCTCTTCTGCCTGCAGCAGCATTTTGCCTGCATGCTCTGCGAGTTTGGCTGTGGATTTTACAGATTTCTCCCATTTCTGCATTTTCTGACCGTGGCGTTCCGGTATCGTTGGGTTTTCCTCGTGCTGTTTCCCAGGTTTTTCATGTTTGGACAATCCATGCTGATCATTTCCTCGAACAAAATACTGAATGTACTGAAATCTCACTGAGGGGAACAAATAAATTATTGGGGGGAATGTGCACTTTGGGATATGTGAGCCTTGAGTCTGGTTGTCGCTTGTTTTGGGATTTTTTCCCCAAAATTATTCTGTTGGTTCAGGGTTTTTTTCCCCAAATGGTTCTGTTGGTTTGGGGTTTTTTTCCCCCAAAATTGTTCTGTTGGTTTGGATGTTTTACCCTCAAAATTATTCTGTTCAGGTTTTTTTCCCTCCAAATTATTCTGTTTGTTGGGTTTTTTTCCCCCACATTATTCTGTTGCTTTGGGTTTTTACCCCCAAATTATTCTCGTTTTTGTTTTTTTCACCCAAATTATTCTGTTTGTTGTTTTTTTTCCCCCAAATGATTCTGTTGGTTTGGGCTTTTCCCCCAAAATTATTCTGTTTGTTTGTGTTTTTTTCCCCCAAATTATTCTGTTTGTTCAGTTTCGCCCCCCAAATTATTCTGTTTTTTGTATTTTTTCACCCAAATTATTCTGTTTGTTGTTTTTTCCCCCAAATTATTCTGTTGGTTTGCCTTTTTCCCCAAAATTATTCTGTTTGTTTTTTCCCCCAAATTATTCTGTTTGTTCAGTTTTACCCCCGAATTATTCTGTTTTTTTTATTTTTTTCCCCCAAAATTATTGGTTTTTGGGTTTTTCCCCCCAAATGAATCTGTTGGTTTGGGTTTTCCCCCCAAATTGTTCTGGTTTTTTCTTTTTTTTCCCCAATTTTTTTCTACAAATACATTTTCTCCCTTTCAACGAACATGTCTAAAAGTTAAAATTCTTAAAACAACTTTGACCGAGTTTGATTTATTTCCCAGTGAAACATCAGCCGCAGGTGATGAAATCCAGCCCGTTTTTGCCGTTTCCTTTATAAACAAAAGCCAGGAGAACGATCCCCACGCAGACCCCACATTATTCTGTCACTTTGGATTTTTTCTGCAAATTATTCTCGTTTTTGTTTTTTTCCCAAAATGA